TTTGTTCTTAAAAGATAATTAGATTATTAAATTTTTTTACTCATAGTGGTTACTCGTGGTTACTCGTGGAAATTCCTCCTAAAGAGCAATTTTAGCCATTATAACTACTTTAATGCCTAGAAATTTATTAAGTTTTCTATGCTTTTCACTTTGTTCTTTGTTTCGATGCGTTTCAATAAAGGAGAGAATAAGAAATCGTGCCCGACGCGCCACGTCGCACGATGTCAAGGCACGGTTAAGCGTGACATGAAATGTCACGCACTGAAAATAACGAAATCGCCTTATTCTAATTGTTCTAAAATAGGTATGATGAAGTCAAACATAACAAATAAAAAGCCACCAGGGGTCTTACATCCCAGCATAAAAAAAATGAATTCAATTAACTTTCTAAAGGACGTACGGCCACTTTTGAGATTCAGACAATCGGCGACAAAATTGTTGAGACATTGTACTTAAATAGGGTGACTTCGGAGAATAAAAGAATCCGCACCCCTCCCCTGTCCCCTCCATTCAAAGTTGGGGTGTTTGTTGTTTTCTATAGGTAGCTAGAACAAGGGCACAACACTGCACGGAGGGGATGGGGGAGGAAAGCTATATTTCCTCCTTTTGAAGTTCATAAAACGTAAAAAAGCCCACTTTTGGGCGAAGTGTCTCAACTCATTTTGTCGCCGATTGTGGAATAAATTATGCAAAAGATTCCATTTAAACCCCACTAACCCAGTAGCCCAGAGAAGACAGAAAAAAATAACTCAGGTTTGTGGAGATGGACCAGATGGGAAGATCTAGGTTGGGAGGTACATGGGAAAGAACTAATAATTTCCTTTGTCAGGGACTTGACTGACATCCTTCTTTGTGTATTGTCACGGAGTAAAAACAGTTGCTTATGCTTTTTTGTCAGTAGATCGATGACAAGTAATGATGGTGTTTTAATCCCTTTTTCTAATAATTTTTTTGCTCCTGCTATTTGTTGAATTACCTTTCCATGTTGTTTTTCCAGATCTAAATCTGCCAAAGGCTGGTCCAAAGGATGTAAGATTTTTCGATTGTTTTTCTTCCTGTGGTGCTGATACTGTGTAAGCTTTCCTTGGGTTTCTGATGGCGAGGTTGAAATTGAAATAGTAGTTACAGAAACAAACTGCATGTATACTGCTAGTTCAAAAGTAGTTCAAGAAACTTCGTCTTCTTGGCTTGCTATTATCTCTTTCTAAGCGAATGTATGACTTTGTGATTTCTCTTTTTTTCAAAATTTAGGTATGATTGTAGGTCATGTGTATACTGTAAAGTCCTATTTCATTATACAGTACCAATATGAAAATCAACTCTTTTAGTTATTGCGATCTGAAACATTATTAGTTTATTGAGGTCCCCAAAGTCAGCAGCCTATGTTATTTTTGCTATATCATTTATGGGTACATGTACTTTAATTTTGGTTTCGGTTCATAACATTCTCACAGTTCCCTTGCCCTGTTTGTTCAGTGAAGGTAAGCTCTGTTAGGCAGGGTTAGTAGTGGGATGGGTGAGACCTTTTGGGATATAACGTGTAATATACTTTGACTTCAAGTTTAGTTTTCAAAAGAAAGCAGTTTCATTGCTCTATAAGCATGTTTTAAAACATGCTTATAGAGCAGGTTATTTCATGTAAAAGTTTTAGAGTCAGAAGAAATTGCAAAGGACTTTCTTTGATCATATTAGTGCGTTTATTGTAAGTAGCTAGGGGAAGTGGTGAGCTAGAGCTGACAGATAGTGCTGCTTTTTATATCATCTAGGGCTTGTTTATAGCCTGCAGTGTAGACAGCCCACGTACTGTGTACAGTATAGATATAGTTGGTTTAAAGAAGGTTTAAAGTGTCTACGGCGCAGGCTAGCTTGTTTATAGTACAGTATTGTTGTAAAGTGCAGTGAACTCAACCAGAGTGCTGCACCCAATAACAATCAGCCAATCTTAAGTCATGTTTACAAGGACAGTTAGTTGCATGTCAAAAACAAGATATCTCTTTAAATCTCAAAGTGCCACCACCCAAGTGTGTTCACTGCACTGATATTAAAAAAAAATTAGGTTTTAATAAATTGTATATTACACTTGAAAAAAGAATCAAAATTTTGTGGAGCCATTACCCCATGCAGTATATATATGCTAACAACATCATCCATGTTGGTTTAATTGAGCAAACAGTGTTATTGATCATCCTCTTTTTGGGACACCTCCATTCAGGGGACACAAAATTGGGTCCCGGAAAATGTGCACATAATCTTTGTATTTAATACCTCACACTATCAAACCCAGGGTACTTACCAGATTGGCATGTCGACATCCAGGCCCTGTTTTACTAAACGTGACAATTTTTTGTTTCGGGTGAGCAGTGAGTGTGGGTGGAGAGGGACAAGCCTACAAACTAGCTGCATAGATAAATTACGTTCCATTTAGCTTAAATTGTTCTCTTTTAGTTAAGAAAAGGAACATGGTCCACTGCAAATGGAGTAAGTAACAATGTAGCACTGGAAAAGATTTATTGCATGTTGATTCTTCAGATTCGGGCGCTTTGGCCACCTGAATTATAGGGACATAAAACAATTATCTCACAAACGGGGGGGTCACGGGCACCCCAGAACCACCCCCTAGCTACGCCCCTGATGAGAAGAAAGCCAATTTCGGCATCGCTTGTTTACGTCCTCCATAAAACATGAAATTTGGCATTTTCTTGTCCTGGTTGTGCAGTGATGGCTTAAAAAATTTACAGCAAAGCTTGATGCACGTGCAGAGCTGTTGCTTTGCCTATTCATTTCAACCTATTGCCTTTTTGACCTTTTCTTTGTCGTCGCCGTTGTGGCATCTTAAAGTCCCTAATGATGATTTTTTTTGTGCTGTTTTTTTTGGTTAACTATTAACAAACCCCAGTCCAACCTCTAATCAGGGGGAACCTCCCCTGAATAGAGGTTTCATTGTATTTGTTTTATCTATATTGCTTCAAGTTTATTTATTTTTTATTTCAAAGCTCACTTAATAACTTTCTGTGTTTTGCACTGTGAGCCTGTCAACTTTCTTGATCGGTATTATTATGATAATCTTTGATAACTAATTAAGACTTTTTTATGCTCCATTTCTTGTACACTGTACAAGTTAAAGTTCACATGTACACCAAATAGTATTGCATGAAACCTGAAATGATGCGACAATGGCCGCTATTGTCAAGTGAAATTTACCCTACGTTATAAAGTTATTCTTCCGGTATTATTAACTCAGTGTTGAGTTTTATGTGTGTCTTGCATAAAAATAGTTATCATCTTAATATATTTTTTTTACCACTTATTACCCTTCTTTGTTCAAATTATAATCTTTCATCTAATGTCGGGGAGAGAAGATGTTGCCTGGCTTGCTCATGGTAGGGAATTAAGGGAGATGTGGTGTTGCCCTCTTCCTAAAGGTCTGGGGACGAGCCAGGGACCACATGGTCTAGTGTACACTGGGCAACCTCATAGGGATTGGCTGGGAATAAAGCAATGAACAAACAAAGTAACAATGGAACCTAGCCTGAAACAAAAAAAGCTGCGACATATAGGAATCCAAAGGCTACGGTTATGACAAATGATTTTGAGCTAAACATAATTATTGCACAAATTTTGCTGTAGCTGATGGCATCTTGGTTAAATTAGCCTGCGAAACGCATATGTATGTCCGGTTTTTCGGAAGGAGCGAAGTGACGACCGGAAATACGTCTGCGTTTCGCAGGCTATGGTTAAATGGGGTGTGAATATGGTTGTTTTCAGTTATTTTATGGTACCGGAAACACCCGCTGATAAGAAGGTCCCTTTTTTTTTAGGTAGGTTCTTGTTCTTGGGGTACTTATTGGCAATTTAGGCTAGGAAGGTTCGTAATTAGGTTCTTACAAGTAATTTTTATATAGGACATAATAGATTGTGGGTAATGAGAAAAATAAATAAATTTTCTGTTTATTCACAATTATGATAACCATAACAAAACTTATGACCGAATATCATGCAGTTTGACAGTATGTTTCTGTTGACTTAAATTTACAACTGAAAGTTACACTCCTTTGTTAAATTGTTTATCATAATTTCACAGTAAAAATTAACCACATAAGAACCTGCTTGGTTTAGCTTGCCTAAACAGGTTCTTGTATTCTTAGGTATTAAAGTACAGATTTCTGCCAGGAGGTCCTTAACCACAGGTTCTTATTAGCGGGTGTTTACTGTAACTGCCTCTATAGTCAAACCAGTCAAACCTGTATTAAGCGGACCTCTATATGCGGTCACCAATTAAAGTCTTGGTAATAGCTTCCCTTAATTATTGCAAAAACTGATCTGTATTTAGCAGTTACCTCTATTAAGCAGCCGTGGTCACCTGTTTTCGAGGTCCCAATGAGTAATTTGTTATTGTCTTTACCTCTATTAAACTGTCCCTTTGACAAGATGTGCCATACTAGTGCAAAAGGATACACTGTGTAGGGTGTTTAGTGGTCTTGTACAGACTTGCCAACCCCCAAAAGGCAAAGAAATTGAGATTCTGAACCTTGAGCTGGGAAAAGTAGTGCAGAGAAATGGGTATAAAGCGGCGGGCCATAAATCATGGGGCAAAACAAGGATCGTGGTTAATTTTAATGCCGAAAGATTCCGAATACACCACATTACTTATGGGTCAAAAAAAGATGATGAGGGAAAGTATAGTTCTGTTTGTTTTTTCTTTGTTCCGTGCATTAAGTTGAGGACCAAAAATTTACCAATCTAGAAAAAGAAAGATAAGACAGTTATGGTGAAAAAAAAAACGAAAATATGAGCGGTCTTGACAAATGATTTTGAGCAGAACATATTGTAACTGAGGGCATAACTGTTTATCCAGTATTAAGTGAGATCTCATTGAAATGGGGTGTGAATAGTTGTGTTTAGTTGTTATTTTACAGAAACTGTCACTATAGTCAATATAACTTAAATTATATCATTATCTTTCCCTACCGTTTCAGTTTTCCATTCGGCCTGAATCTACAATGAAGGTCACCAAGGATACAGTTACGATTAGCGAACTACTACGAGTGGGGGGTCTTGAAGGACAAACTGTTCAACTAAAAGATGCTGATCCAAATGAGCTTCAGCTTTTTATTGACAATATGCCTGCCACTATCAAAGGTAAGAGTGTGAAATATGGTTTTTGATAAAAAGAGGAATAAAATTAAACTTACTGTACAATGTATGTACGTAAGTTTAGAAACAGGTAGCTCAAGCTTATGACGAGAGTAGTTAGTTTGGTTTTTGGAATTGAGAAGCATATGGTTAAACCCGTACATATGTGAGGTATGTATGGATAACTGGGCTTAAATATTTAACAGTAATGAGCGAAATATCCAGAATAAATTTTAGAAACGTTAACGCTTATGAATTTGGTGAACCGGCAATCCTCGCGTCAAAACGCGCTGTTAACAGTGTCAAGAGGGGTAGACTACAAGAACAACATTGATCTACTTAAAGAGAGCATGATATCGGGCTGGTCCCAGTTCTAGTGATTTGGAGTCAACAAATCAGATCATATTTAAGACTATGAAAGCTTAGAGACAAGCAATAGTCTGTAATCCAGAAATCGATTGATGATGCGAATTGCTTCCTCGCCTCATTCTTCTCGCGCGCTGGCGGTTCTGCCGCCAAAATTTCCCCTGATATCCTGACTCGTCCTCAGTCTTCTCTTATCATTTGTTAGCGGTCAGCAGAGAATAGAGACCTTTAGTCATGTGACCACGGTCTTGCTATCGCGTTTGCCGTTTGGAGTTCACTTTTGAATGGCAGGAAGGGCTTTCAGCGATAAGTGACTTACGACAAGGGTTTTTTTTTGTCTCTAAAAATTGTACAGCCTTACGTTTAAAGGCACGAATCAGCTTTCTATATCCACCTGTGATGTGCTACTTAGATTTTTGACCTCGAAGCAATGGATTGTTTTGGGCGAAAAAGCGAAGCACTTTGAATTTACGAAAAACAACATGGCGTCACTAAACAATGAAAGCCTTGCTAAAATTTGAAATCCCGGCAACGCGAAACTGCAAACTTGTAACTGCAAACTGAAAAACCTGATGCTAAAGGTTTCTAATATTACGGCATCTCCCCGCGCTTCTCTCGTTTAAAAATTAACAGGAGACTGAGAGACGACTGGGGACGAGTCAGCCTGAGATCTGCCATATCAAAGTCTTATGATGAAAAGAATTATTAAATTTGTATTTATATTTGGCTAGTTCTCTCTCCACGTTCGTTGGGTAATTCATCGACCAGTAAAAATAACCATAAGAAATGGATATGGGAAGAGCTACAGTATGTTGCCCAGTATCCGGACGGTACCAGTATCCGGACACTTAAAACAAAAACTCAATTTTTGAGGCGCCCTTTTCAGTTATCGGTAAACAAAGTATTTCGAACGAAAGCTGAACATTTCGGCTTTAAGATGAAGGTTTTGGCGAGTTGAAAGCTTGCGAAACAGTCGCAGAAGACGCCGTTCTGTTCAGGTGAATAAACATTTGATGGCTAATATTTACGCTGTTTACTGCGCAGTAAAATTAGTGCTGCTCAGAAAAGGGTAGGTAATATGTGATATTTTAAAAGAAACGGTTTTATATTTAAAGTGAAGATACTTAAAGAAGTCAGGTTCTCAGAAAGTTTATTAATTCCTCTTGAAATTCGATTTGTTTGGAATAACGGAGCCCAGAAACATTCACTAAGTATTGCCGTCAGGTGCCCAGTATCCGGACAGTTTTTTTCTTTGCTGTACAGAATCGATGAATAAACTGCGTACATTATCCGGATAAGATTTATTTCATATCTATAACTATAATTAAAGCTTAGGATATATGATATAGTCGTAAAATGTAATTCTACTCAACTCCGTACGGAAATTTTCTTCACTCATTCGGAGGCGACTTGATTTCGTGTGCGCCGCTTGTTTCGCGTGACTGCATTTTCTATATATAACCGAAAGCGTCGGAGTTGAACCTGGAATTCTCATACTTTCCCCAGTTGTGACTGCTAGAATAGGGTTGCAGCGGTCTGAAAAATGTCACAAAGGGATTGAGAGATGTGAAGTAAGGAGGAATTAGTGCTAAAAAAGCAGGTTTATTGTGGGGACTGAGCATGAAAAAATCAACACTGCAGGTCAGACTAAATAGGAGAGTGATCTTTGACCGTCGCATTGAAGTCCCTTCCCCAAGCTTTTTTTTTAAATAAAAAATGAAGAAAAAAAGTAGTTTGCAGATTGGCTAATTGAGCTAACAAACCGCGGCTTCGGCATGTTCACGGATGTCTTCCTTAAATCAGTGAAAAAGTTCCTAGAGAGGAAAGTAAGAATTATGCCATTTAACAACCGCTCGCGTTCCCTACCATACCCCAGTCATTTGTTATGTTTTATTTCACGATGCTAGGTTATATTTTTGGAATCGATTGCCAGAATACTTTGCAAGTGCAAGAGAAGCTTAGAAGTCAATTGCCTGTCGAAATTTATATACAATTACCTTGTTATTGTTGTGTCCGGATACTGGGCCAGCTGTCCGGATACTGGGCAACATAGGAGCTCTGCAAAAATATTAATTTCGCCATGGAAACAAAGGCAAAAAAGGTAAACTGTCTTTCGTCATATTAAGGTTTAAATAGATTTTCTCTGGGCCAAATTTCAGAGCTCTTGCGACTAACAAAGGAAAGTTATTGCAATGTTAAACTGAAGTGTCCGGATACTGGGCAACATAGTGTACATATATTTTTTACCCCTTCATTCCGTTCTTTAAAAAGGCGTATCTCACGCTCACGTCCGAGCAGTGTGGCCCGGGTTCGAATCCTGGCGTCGACGCCATATGTGGGTTGAGTGTGTTGTTGGTTCTCTCCTTTGCTCCGAGAGGTTTTTCTCTGGGTACTCCGGTTTTCCCGTCTCGGCCTTAAAAACCAACACTTTCAAATTCCAATTCGATCTGGAACGCACGGACATGTTTCAACGAGTTCTTAAGAACTCTTAAGAGCTCCGTGGAAGCAGGAGATTACTACTACCAGAAAGATCAACCCAGTTGCGTTATCCACGTGATAGAGATTTAGCCAGTGGATAGTGCTATCCATCGATTGAACAACTACTGCCAGGTTTTTAAATGCTTTACATTTTTTTTTCGAAGAAACCACGGCCCGGAATCGAACAGAATTTCGATGTCATAGCCCGCAGGTGTCACCAACGCCGGTATACAGTCCCGGTTTATAACTAAGTTGTATCTAGGTTTTGAGTTCTGCATCGCAGGATATAGATTTACGATGCATTTTTTCAGTCTGTGTAAAAGGACAAATTTCTGTTTTTAGACACCCCTTATGTGCCTTGCAATAAAGAATGCAACAGAAAGAGTTTTCTTGGACATTTTCAATGGTAATTTTTTTAGACGTTGTCAAGAGCCATAATAGGACAGTCGTCCTATTATAATCTCTTGACGTTGTTTAGAATTATATAAATGGTATATTTTGTAAGAAATCGCGATTGACATTTTGACATGTGAGACGTTTCGCGTTGAGGTTACATTTTATGCCATGAATTAATCCTCGTCTCTTCGTACCTCCCCAACTAACGACGGTCTGAAATTTTTCTTTGTATTTGATGAATATGTTAAAAGGTATGGGAAAATAATTAAAAGGGTGGGGGGACAAAATCAGTTACCAGAGGGTTGGAACTCGCGTCTACCACCAAACCTATCAGCTTCGCAAGCTGAGAACTAGCGGGTAAAACAAAGAGGAGACATCCCTTGAAAAAAGAGTACTAGCTCGCACAGCGCTTAAAACTGTAGATTAACTAAAAGAAATATACAATACTTCATGGAAATTACGCGCGTATGGTATTTACGCACCATGCCAGTTGTTGACGTATCACAAATTGATGAGCAAGTGCAGTGTTCTCCTTATCAGGCGGTAACCGGTAAAATTTACCGCTTGAAGCAACACTTCTTACCGCCTGCAACCTCTTGAAGTCTTACTAAAATTAAATAAATTGTTTCAAAAAATATGCAAGTTGTGATCCAAGCCGATCCCCTCAGGAAAAGGAAGTAGCTGTGTATACTTTTTGTTTTTCCGTATTTACTCTCCCTAATTACTTTATTTAAATGCTGACTGGCACCTTTCAAAGCACTGCAGAATAACGATTTTTTTGTGGGCTTATGTCCCAGTTCTAAGCTTTTTCGACAAGCGGGAAAAGTTCGCGACTTCCGCGACTTGTGTTACTAAATTGACCCTAGCGGGAAGGCAGCCTTCATTCGTAAAATTCTTTGTTTTGAGGTGTTTAAAATACTTTTCGGTCAATTGGTTGAGAGGATGCTCGAAAATAAAAGCCTTCATGAACGCGAAGCCCCTCCCCTGGCAGGAGAGTGCGCCTCTGGAATACATTTTTGGCCTTACCGGTCAAGAATGGTCCCTTACCTGCTAAGCTAAAATGTAGGGAGAACACTGAAGTGAGATGCAAAAACAAGTTCGCGCTTACGTTTTTTTGGATTTTAACTCCCTAAACTCCCCTTTCCTGGGTTTCTGAGTCGTTCAGACAGGATATTGGCCAGTTCCATTCCCCACGCACGGATGAAACCTTTGCAGATCGTTGGATTATAACATCAAGGTCAATTTCCATATTGTAGTAGCTATAATGAAGCAAGGCCAGTCCAAACCATTTACCAGATTTCAGCTTGGAAAGTTTTTTTATTAAAAAAGATATTTGTTATGAAAAATGTGAGCGATTTCCGTAAATTTGTGGAAACCGGTGTGGATCCGCGCCTGACGTAATACAGGATTACACTATTAGTCTACCGTTTTGTTTTGGAAAAAAAAAACATTGCCTGCGGAAAATAAATGAATTTGAGCAAAGTGGCCGGTTTGAATTAGCTTGGCAGAAATATACCGCCTATTAAAAGTACATTTCAAGCTTGCTAGTATTTGTTTTTCTCCCTTTCTTCTCTTGTTTTACAATAGCTCTTTACAGTTGTCTTCAGAGGCAATGAAATATAAGAAGCTATTCTATTCCAGTTACCCGACTATTGCTCAATTTTCTACGAGATACAGGCTCTCCTTTATGGACTCAACAAATTTCCTTTTTGAATGACTGCCAAGCAACTGGCGAAGCAAGGATGCTGCAAGCACCTATGAAAGGCCGGAAAATTATCGCGAAACTCACGAACCGCTATCCAGGGGAGAGTAGCAATACCCCTAGGCATGCTTCCTGTTAAGGAAAACTGGATGAGTTCCGGCCATTTGGTGCCCTACTACCAAAATTACAAAAATAATGTACAGTTGCGCTGTGCTCCCGTCCCTACGCAATGCAACTGAATACTCGTCAAAAAGCTGACAAGTCCATGATTACAGCATCTATTAAAGTTCTCGCCATGAGGACGGAATTCTTGATGTAGACGTACTCAGGACGGATGACTCTGTTACAATGGAAGCTCCCGCCACCTCATATCACCTCTCCTCAGGTTCGCTGGGGAGAAACAACTCAAGACGTCCTACAGTAGTATTTTATGGTAATCTGTGTCGGGAAAGAGAATAATTACGTTTTACGTGTTCAAAAAAAAGTCTGGAGTATAAATCTTGGAAAGACCAAGCTGTAGATCATTCCAAGTGGCCTCGTGCCGTGAGGAGTCAATCGCAGAAACTGAATGGAAGCGGCAGAAGAATTATCGAAAGGCAAACGAAAGGAGACTTTGCTGTACAGTTTATATAGACGTCATATGTAGACATTGCCATCGCCGCTGTCGCTCCTGTCACAGCTTACAACCCTGTACAGGACAATCATTATCGAGGACGATAGACTCCCAATACACTTTGCTGATGTGAATGGTTATAGTTGACTTCAGTTGGTAATTACCCGATAATCTGAAAATTTTACGCTCAAAATCGACCGTCTGTCAAAATGCTTTATATCGAATCGACTGTATCAGTACGTCTTGTATAAATTCTTTAGCTTGCTGTATTCTTGCATGGGAGCACGTTTCCCAAAGTTGAAGTCTAAAATACATTTGTGTAAATTTTATAAAAATGAGGGCTCGCTCAAGGGAGGAACTATTTTTGAGAGATGTCAGTTAACAAACAAGCAATACCCATAGTGACGATGGGTGCAAGTAATTCTGAATATTAATTTCATCTTCTTTTGATAGGTTGCCTGTGAGTATTCTGCCCGTTTGGCGTGCGTTTTATTTTGTACAGAATTCAAAATTTCTCCGCTAACAATTTGTTAACTACCAAGTGGTTTCGTCCATTTACACTACTTTTTTTTTACCTCTTCGCAATATTTATATTTAGACGTCAAAAACTGAAAATTTTTTTGCTGTTCAACTACCATATTCGGCCCTACGTTTTCAATTTTAAAACAAGGCCATTATGGTCAAGATACCCTCTGAATCCCTTCGTTTGAGTAGATCAAGTACAGCTTTGGGAGCTATGTAATGTTTAGTACTTGATGCTGTGATCTTGTTTGGAAGAACGTAGGAAGGACAGTTAGTAGCCTAAGAAGTGTCTTTATAACTGAGTGTCTTCGTATCATTATGCATGCAGTACTCTTTCATCGATCATTGCGGATCCTACAGTGTGTAGGACGTGTGTTACATAAATATGAAACTGGTAAATAGCTTGATATGTACCCTTACAATCAATGTCTCTGTATCATTATGCAATACTCTTCCATCATTGCTAATCCCAAGCAGTATGAAGGACGCGTTTCAGACATGAACCCTGTATGCAGCAGTTGTTGTTTATTCTTATTGTTCTTTTTTTTTTCTCTTGTTATTTAATTGTGATAAGACATACTCCTCGCGTATAGCTCTTGGCGACTTTGAGTAATTAATTTCCTTGTTTTAAACCCTTACAGAAAAAATGCAAGATCTGCGTGGAGCAAGCGTACAAAGTCCTATCCCAAGGCCATCAAGAGAGGTACGGCAGCGCGAACGAGATTTAGAGAGGCAGCTCAGAGAGATGCGACAACGCGAAGAAAATTTACAAAGGCAGTTGCGGGAGTTACAGGAAAACTCGCAAAGACAGCACAGGGAGATGCAGCAACGCGAACAAAACCTTCAAAGGCAACTAAGGGAGAAACAGCAACGTGAAGAAAACTCAAAAAGGCAGCTGACTGAGATGCAGCAACGGGAAGAAAACTCACAAAGGCAGTTGAGGGAGCTGCAGCAGCGGGAAGAAAACTCACAAAGGCAGTTGAGGGAGATGCAGCAAAACTCACAAAGGCAACTCAGAGAGATGCAGCAACGTGAAGAAAATTTGCAAAGACAGCTGAGGGAAAAAGACCAGGAAGTAAATGAACTAGAGTTAAGTCTTTCATTAGCTCAGCAAACAATAAGTGAACATCGACGACAGGAAACATGCGACTGGGTTATTTCCCGTAATGAAATTCAGATGACAGAGAATTGCCTAGGGAGGGGAGGTTGGGGAAGTGTCAATGAAGGTACCTACTGTGGCTGTACTGTGGCAGTGAAGCAAATCCATGACCTGATTCTATCCCGCCATAACAGGCTTTTATTTGAAAGAGAAATGAATATTGCTTCAGCCTTTTGGCGCCACAAATGATGAGGGAAGTCCGCTATTTGTGACAGAACTCATGGAGAAAAGTTCGCGAGCAAACAGAAATACGCATCATTTCTCTGGATGTAGCTCGTTCCGTTATTTATCTTCATCAGAAGAAACCATCACCAATTATTCACCGGAACGTCAGCAGTGCCAATGTGTTGTTATGGCGACAGGGTGACCAATGGAGAGGCAAAGTGTCAGATTATGGCACTGCTAATTTCGTGCAACAGACCATGACAGTGGCTCCTGGAGCTACGATTTACTGTGCGCCTGAAGCACTTTCGTCAAATCAGACTCCTAAGGTTGGTAATCATTTGTTTCAGATCAGAGTACTGCACGACTATTTGATAGGGGCACAATTTGGTGGACTTGGTTTATTATTGACTATACCAAATCAGTTTGGTACTTTTACTTTTACCGGTTCCTTTAGGCAAAATTTTGTTTCCGCATAAAGAAAGGAAAAAAAGCGGTATTCGCGTGAGGGAGATATCCTAGATTAAGAAAAGAAGATGTTGGTTTGCCTGTATCATTAAACCAGGCGTACTCATAAAATCACCACAGTTGTTAGGATTGGATCGACATAGTGTTATTTTCTGAGAGCTTGCTTTTCATTTAAAACAGAGTGGAGCTAATTGCCATTGAGACAACACCAGTACATATCTATTGTTCTTTTTTAGGTCGACGTTTACAGCTTTGGTGTTTTGTTATGTGAAATGTGCATCGGAGAACTTCCAGATCCTGAAAGGCGTGACGAGCAAGTTGTTCTTATGTCAAACCGCGCTTTAAGAGGCCTGGTACGGCGATGCCTGCAGACAGATCCTGAAGCGAGACCAACCATGCAGGAGATCATCGATGAATTATCAAGAGCTGTGTAACATCGGTTCTGTCAGTTTCGCTGCTGATAGAATGGCCTGGCAATCTTTATATAAGAATGTCTTTTACGGAAAGTCGGTCGAAGTGTTTATCCTGACAAGGTAGTTTACAAAAGTATTTCTAGAAAAAAAAAATAACAAAAGTTAAAAATCGTCGTTTATTATGAAAAATTGGTGTTTTTGCCAAATCAGTTTTACACTCAGCGAAGGAGAAAGTGAGGTCTTTATAAAGTTTAGTGATCATGCCCAAAAGCCATATTTTTTACATTTACCATTGTGGGTGATGGCAAATAAATGCTTAGAATTAACCTTGGTAAAAGAAGTAAGGCCTGCGAAGTTATCGCTGAGACGTCATTTCGATATCCTAAGCTTGCTTTTTATATAATCGTTAGAACAGAAGTTTTTATTTTTGTAAAGACCATTGAATATTTTACTAACAACGTGATAATGTTGAAGACTTTTTTCTTTATTCTTACATATTATGCTATTGGTTACTAATAAAAAAATATTTTTTATATTAATTCTGACGAAATTTATGCACATAAAATAGATAATATTAATTGAAGACAAGAGTAGATAATTCGATAATGGCAAGTTTTAGGATATGAAATTAAATCTAGTAGGCCCACTAGCCTTTTTTAGTTAGTTCTCTATCCAATAGGTAGCTTACTCATAGAATAGAATTTGCCCAAATTCACGCTACTCACTTATAAAGTAGGTCATACACATGAAGCTGGCATTGTGTTAAATAGACAATATTGAGTGAAGAAACAATTATTTCAGTATATCGCTTGTGAAACGTTTTATGAGATACGATTGAATTTGGAGAGCAGGTAGAACATTAAGCGATCATAATTAGAGTTTACTATCCAATAGGTAACTTTTTTGTAGAATAGAGTATTTAATTCATACGTTACTCAAAAATTGTATCCGTATATGGCTGATTAAACGTTTTAGGTTGTGCGTTTAAATCTGCTTACTAGTAGCCAGCACATTAAACAACTGTAATTAGGGTTTCCTATCCAATAGGTTACTTATATAATTAGCAATTATTGAATGGGGCTGAGTGCGATGGGAAGAATTATACAGATCGAGAAGGATGATTTCTACCGAGGCTTAATTATTCATTCAAAATATTTTAAAGTTCTTAACAAGCTTACCTCCTCGCATACTACATGTATCTTCTAAGCTTTGGCCTATTTTTACACAGTTTCAGGGTATAAACAGAGTTTTTTGCAGATATTCCTCAAAAAGTAGATAACATCCATAGAGCAATATGTTTTGCGTATTCTTGCTTTCATTCCGTTCCGCACGTTTTCGTCAGAAGTTCAGCTATTTCGTCTTCAAATAGCTGCATGAACGTCATTATTTTTTTAGTTTACTGGTGAATTAATATATTGGCCGCCGCGCCTGGAAACGAAGTTGACCGATGGTCTATTGCCCATGCAACCTCGTTTCCAAATCAATATACCATTGACTGATCAAATTCGTTTCCAAGTCAATATACCACCGAATCGCTGGTGAATTGCTCGCATCTTCCAAATGTGGTAAACACCAGTGGGTTATTAAAAATTAGCGGGGAGCTTTAAGCCTATCAGAAACTGTGAAATATTTTGAAAGAATAATAAAATCGATTATACATAAATTCAGTTACCACTTGGTTATAAAGTTAGTCGTCCACACAAAATAGACGATACGAGGTACGAGTAGATTGGTCGCTTAAGTATATCATTAGAGTTTTCTATCAAATAGAAGAGGGTTTTAGTTTTAGAATAGGGTTACCTATAAAGTTGGTCATACACATGAAAAAGACAACATTATTCGAAGAAACCAGTTACTGATGTTCAATTAATATGGCGGAAGGTTTGGTAAAGCAGCGTTTTGAAAAGACTGAAGGTAAATCAAGAAAGTCTCTCTCCTTTTCTCTTTTGAAGAAAATTAAAACGCCTAAAAGCCTTATTTTGACCTCAAAAGAGGTCAAAGAAAATGCTTTTGCAAACGAAACTAACGAGCTGGGCCCAGCGTGATACAAGATCAAGAAAACATCAAATTCACGGACTAGAAGAAAATCGCTTAGTTATTCAGATCCTGAGACAAAAATAAAGGACCTAAAAGCCTTGTTGAGCCACAAGAAAGAGCTTTACGCTTCGAAAGAGGTCAAAGAAACTGCTCTTCAGTCTTGCATCAGAGGGCAAATCATGCCGACCAGAAATTCAAAAACCTCAGGAAATGAACAAGCGCGTCATGACCTCTCAGTGTTAAACAAACGGCTAAAATCACATTTGCTTACTCAAAACATAGAACCCTCCAGAGCATAACCTACCCGCCAGAGAAAAAAAACGTATTGGAACAAGCAGCATTTTGGCATGAGGTAACAGTGGGGTAGCGTTTTAGCACTGAAAGCAAATCTTGTCCTGATGCCAGTGTAGAAATCGCTTTGACTTTCTCATTGCGTAACACACGCGACATTCCAAGCCCATTCCAATTCCAAAAGACTTGTTTCTACAGCAGAGTTAAAAATCGCTCTTGCGTCCGCCATTTCTGAATTCAGAATACTTCTTTCCCGCAGTTGCATGCAAACGAAAACGCAATAAACAATATAGACTTACATTTGATTGACAGGTATCAATCTACTTCCCCTAAGCCGCACCAATCAGGGGCTCCGTTTGCCAGCGTACGGAGTTTGCCAAAAGAACAATGATATCGGGCAGGCGTACTTTTTTCTCCCCTTCCCCTCCCCCTCCCCCCTTTCGTTCTTTCGCCCTAGCACCTACCCTTAGGGTTACTATTTTTTCTTAGGGTTACTCTTTTTTTCTTCTCGGGCTGCCTCCCTCGTTTCTCGCGTCTCGCGGCTTCGCCGCTCAACGCTCGCGCGCGTGCACTCTTCCTTACTGAATCTGAAGAAAAAGAGAGACTGCTCGCAGTCTAATTTATCAGAAGTGAAGGGAGCTTCCGGTGCAATAGTTCTTCGGTGTTGATTTGTCTGCCACTCATTTCCGGAAACACGGTCAAGCACGACCAATTAGGGCGTGTTTCTCATCTTTACAGTGTTTTCGGGCAGGCGTTTTCTCTTCTCTCTCCCCACCCCCTACCCCGCTCCTTTTGACTCGCCCCATTTTCTCCCCTCTTTTCGAGTTTCAATAAGTGCTTTCGCGAGCGAAACATTCGCGCACCCGAAGAAAACGCCTGCTCTGCAGGGTAATAAAATACAGCAGAGCTTTAATTTGGGTTATTACGCCACGCTTTACGCGATGGGCTTAAAGTTGTTTACAAGAAGTTCAAGAAATATTAAAGCGCCGAGATATAGACGACGTTTGTTCTCGATTATCTTTCTGTAAATTTTTATCAGATTAAATCGAGTGCGCAATCAAAATAGAAAAACCGTTTGGGCAAACCCTTTGAAAGTTAGAAAAGCCTAAAATGGCTAAAAGATGCAACGAAAATGATGTGGAGGCGATTAATTGGCGGGAAGCCTACCAGTTGGCCGCTAAATATACTAAAAGTAGAAGAATTATTGAATTCCAATATAAATTTTTACATAGACGAATATCAACGAACGACTTCTTAACAAAAATTGGCGTAAAAGACAACCCAAATTGTTCTTTTTGCAATAATGAACCGGAGAAACTTCTTCATCTTTTTTGGTCTTGTCCTAAAGTGGCCTTTTTCTGGCATAGTTTATCTCTTAAGCTGACTTTGCTCCACATTACACCGGAACATTACACATTAGATATATTTGTTGCACTTGGTCTAAAGCCGGATTCTTCAAAAAACTGCCAGCAAATTAATTTCCTTTTCCTTCTAGCCAGAAATTACATCTGGATTAGCAAAAGAAGGGAAACCTCGCCAAAGATAGAAGGCTTCCTGCAATACCTCAAATCATTCTACCACATAGAGACCACTGCAGGTCCCATTTTACCAAAAAAATGGGAAAATGTGAGCTCCTTATTTCAGTAAGCCTTTGATTTTGTATACATTTGTATATCTCGATCCTCTGCTCATTTTCTCCAGCATTAACCAGGTGTATCTTTTGCTTCACAATCGCTGCCTCTTTAAGACACTCAAGATATAAGTGCGTTTATCGTGAATGTTTTCTTTTTTTTTTTTTTTTTTTTTTTTTTTTTTCGA